CGATGAGCTTTGTAAAAATTGACGCGTTTCAGAAAGGCGGGGCATAGAGGAGAAACAATAATGTACAGTATGTGGAAAATAATGTGTTTTTTGAACCTTAAACCGCATAAACACATTTCATTACACCAAATACACAAAATAATGTTCTTTTTAGCAACATCATATGACCCCTTTAACCACTTTAAAATTGCTTTTTGGTTGCTTTTAGTCAGAAAACGACACACATACAGCACGATAATATAATTTCACTTGAAGCAAACATCCATCCCTTCTTAAAAGTCTGTGTTAAAAGAGCCGACTGCTGTAACGTTAGCCTATGTCCTGCTTAGGCGTGTTCTCCCTTTATTTTTAATTTGTATATACTGTCTGAATGACAGCTTGGTAAATCTGTTGGCGATCAAATATTCAATATCGCATTCGCTACTTACAAGTAGCCTACTTGGTACATCATCAGCGCAGCGGGAGACGTTCAAACTAATATCACGTAATTTACGACTCTATGATGATTGGTTGATATACCAGAAGGGAGGCTTGCCTCCCTTGCTAGGTTTCTTTTCTCAACACTCCTCAGCGCTTAAAGTAAACACTCGATGGTGATTGGCTAATTCTTTTTACCAACGGAGGCACGCAAGCTCAGCTCTCCTTATTCTGAGACATGAATTGAAATTAATTGTGAATTTTATTAACATTAAATCGTCCTCCTCCCATTTTCACCTCAAAATTTTGGGGAAGCTGTGCCTCCCCCGATTCTGGTGCATACGATTTTTTTTTTTTTAAATATGCTAAAATACAAGAGACAATGATTCAAGTTGCACAGTTTAATACAATAAATTATAGCTATTTAAGATGTAGAAGCTTTAAGCATGAGGTCAAATGGATGGCAGCCTAGTTGTATCTACATTCTGTATTCTGTTATGTACATGTAAATTTGCCTCAGATTTTATTAAAACGTTAAAGGCAGAGTAAGTGATTTCTGGTAGCCAATGTTGATATTTGAAATCACCAAAACAAACACGCCTCTACCCCAAAAGGGTCTTGCCCCTATTTTGATAGCTCCGCCCCACATATACGTACGCAACCCAGGCAACGATTAGTTCTGTGAAACAAAGCAAAACCAATGTTACACCATGTCTACGGACGTGAGCGGCGCGGCACAACAAATCCCCGACAGAAAACTGCTGCCAGGTTCTATTTATGACGTGCTGACACAAATTTCAAATGGTTTTCAACAGTCGTTTGATCGCGTCCAGTGTAGGCAGACTTTAGCTGTTGTAGACACACGTTGTTACTCACCTATTGAGAAGAAACAAAGCAACCTCGGCGTCCGATCGCAGGCCTCCGCTCCTTGAGTTCTCTCCAGCGCTGGAAAGCTGATCCGATATTTACACGGGTCCTACTTCTTGCCTTATCGTTCCGCAGACGTTTTCCTCTTTTGTTTTTTATCCGCCATCTCTATCTTTCTGTCGCTCGGCTCGGCTAATGTCCGTCCCATGCACTCAACGCGCTCTCCTCCACATCACGAGTAGACACGCCCCTTATTGCTGATTGGCTACAAGTTTGTTTTGCGATTCGGCCCGAATCAGTTTTCTAAAGTGTTTTTGAAAAATCACTTACTCTGCCTTTAATGTTAAAGTACATTTTAAAATTAGACTGTTGAACTTAAACTTTTATACACCCGAATACATAAATTAATTGTGTATTTTGATTGTGTAGTCTTTTACATTCACTATATCTTCTAGGGATCTCAGTTAACTTACAAAAAAAATATTTATTTACTTTCTTCTTAACACCATTCCAGCATCTGTGGCTATATTCATGGCGAGAACCAGTTAATCCATACACAAGTCAATCCATAAACAAGTCTGTTTTACACACAAGTTGAGGGAGGGACAATTTAGAATCTTCAGTTCACCTAATCCAAGACATTTTGGGCTGTGGGAGGAAAAAATTTAATTAAATTAATGAAATTATTTTAATTAAATTGTTTAAATGAAGTTTAAATTACAGTGAAAATGCTAATTATATATGCAACATACTTCATCCTCTAAAGAAATATAAACTTTATGAACCATTGGAATATGAACAGAGGAATCAGAAACATTGCACAGTTGTTTTTTAAATGTATTTAATATTTAAGTAAAACTGCCAGATGCAGACATTAGTGCCTCAAGCCAAGGTGCCTGATGCTACCAGGGATTGGGATCCTTGCAAGATGCTAAGGCATGAAGAGGCCACTCTCATCAGACTGAGGGATGGAGAGTCTGAGACAGGAATGTCTGGGGCAGCTGTGACAGGAACAGCTTTCACAAGAACCTCTTGGGCAGTAAAGAACAGCTTTCAGGAACTTCAGGGCCACTCACTTCACTTTCAGTGGTTTGGACCTGATTTGCAGGGGGAAGGTCTTCAAAATCCCTGAAAGCAGCTTGGTCCTCTGCTTGCTGACCCAGACTCAGCTTCTCAAAATACTCCTTCCTCATCTTCTTTTTCTCCGCCATCTCATTTCACTCACCAGCAGACTGACGGTGGTACTCCCAGCGAACAGAAATGTGTCAGTAACTTTGCTTTAAATTCCTTGTTTTATTGTTGTGATTATTTTTTTTATGATTATTTTACTTCCTTTTATGTAAAGCACTTGTACCATTGTGTATATAGATAAACTTGCTTTGCCTTGCCTTGCCTTATACTGACATGCCTCTAGGTGTCACAATACGACCACATCAGACTATTGAGTGAACCTTTTATGTACTGGCAGCCCTAATAAATAATCTTATTTGTATTTTTCATGCCACTGGCAAATGATCCATGTCTACTGTAAAGCTCACAAAGAAAATGTTTGAAGGAGCAGTGGTGCCGTGATCTGTAATCAAATGGTCATTTTGTTTTATTTATCTTTTTAATTGATCTACAGAATGTCCATGTCAGTATATGGTGTACATATTGCACTGGCAAAATGTTTTCTGCTTCCCCAGAAATGTTCAACTATAATTTGTTTCCAAATAATTATTTTGTGTATAAAGCTATTTATTTTGTTTTTATTTTTCAGTTTAATTCAGGACACACTCAGCTGTCTTTTATCTTCAGTATGACAATGAATAAATAAATTAAGAAATGTATCTTATAATTTTTATAATTAAAAAAAGAGCATCACCTAGCCACTAGTTTTACATCTCTCTCTCTCTCTCTCTCTCTCTATATATATATATATATTTTTTTTTTTTTTATTGTGGTTTTATTTTATTTGTCATTTAAAATGAATTAATGAACGTAAAAGAGTGATTCAAAATTGAATTTTTATATATTTCTAAAAAATTGGTCTCTTCTGCTCAACAAGGCTGCATTTACTGATCACAAATACAGTAAAAATTATGAAATATTATTACAATTTATAATAGTTTTTAATGTGAATATGTGTTAAACTGTAATTTATTTCTGTGATGCGCAGCTGTATTTTCAGCATCATTACTCCAGTCTTCAGTGTCACATGATCTTTTTTGTAATGTAAAGCCCTTTTATTTATGTGTGTGTTTTATGTAGTAAAATTTAAATGAACTGGTCAACATAACACATGTTTAATATGACTGAATCAACCTGCTAAACTAGTCATTTTAAATGGATCAAGAAGAAATAACTTAAGCTAACAACTGCACAATATATTTTACTGTAAATATGTAATAAGTAACTATGAGTAATACAACAGGCAGGTTGCCAAGTCTGTGGAACTGCAGATAATAAGTGGAAACAGGAAATCCGGCTACTATTTTCTATGGAAACACTAAGGGAATTTACAACTGAAGTAGTATGTCCACAGAACTAAGATTAAAAATAAATAAATAAATACATCACAAATAATAAATAATCACAAATAAAAAACTTGTATTAATTGTAAGGGGGATAATCAATATTGTAACTTAAGTAGCCTAATAATGTTTTAAGGCACTCTTCTTTCAGTGCTTTACTAATTTAAAATAAATTCTCAAATAATTTTTAAATGCCAGAAAAACTTACAGAACCTTTAACAAACCTTAATTTGTGTAAATAAAACTTCCCTAACCAATGAAAAAGAAGCGGAACTGTATGCGTTTATATTACACAGGCAGACCTGGCAACCCAGAGGCTATTCTGCAACAAAGAACCACACAAATAACAGACAATCAAATCAATCAATCAATGCTTTGAAAAACATGCATAGGGAACATTCAGTTTAATGGAACACCAAGCACTACAGTGCAATATACATCCAGACAAAATTGTCTAAATCTGTTTTGCCTAAAAAATACATTATTATTATATGATCTCAAGAGCGTGGGCAATGATTTTCCCATACGTTGCAGGTCGAAAGTCTGTATTGCAAGGAATTTATCTTTTTTGTCGGCCAACCTTGCTCACTGAAAGCCAAGTGCAAAGTTAGCCCTCCCCTTTAATCGCCGTTTGCCCGAGCGCTGATCGCTACAAGGAGAGGAAAGCGAGGAGAGAATATGAGGTAGACAGGACTTTACACGAGAATAATGGCGGCGCCGCTCCGGCGGGACACCTTACCTGACAACTACTCTTATGGGGTGTGCAGGGACGGCAGGGTCTTTTTCTTAGAGTGAGGATATATGTTTACTATTGAAAGAATTTCTTTCTCATACCGTTCGAGTGTTTCCCAGCCAGTTGCATCGCTAACAGGTGGTTTGTTTTCCTGCCAGCGATGAGACGAGAAGCACTTCTTGGCTTCATCCCTGCACTGGTGAACCTGTCAATTCTGGACACATGATCCGATCCGGTAAGTGCATTTAGGCTTTCATTTCCATTTCAGTATTTAAGTGTTATTTCGTGTTGCATAGGCATAAAAGAATAATTGAATGCTAAAAGTTTCGCAAACGTTCTATTTTTCTTGCCTCCTAGATCTACCCACAGGTTGGGAGGAAGGGTTTATGAAGGAAGGAGCGAGTTTCTTTATTGAGTAAGTGGATGTGTTTATAGCAATTACACCTTACTGCGGTCCTGTAGTGCGTCAGGTGGATGACAGGTCATAAGCGGGCTTAATATGGCTGTGCTAGTTGCCTGGCTCCTGATCAGCAAAAAATGAATATTGAGAATTGTGCACGAGGGGTATCAAAGGTAAGCTACAGTACACGCACAGTTATTGTCTTTGAAGACTGGCATTCAAGTACAAAGTCTACAGAACAGAACAGAACAGGTGTACACGCCCCTTTCAATTTACAGTTGATGTCTCATGTTGGCAGAGTCTCAAAACCGAGCTACTGTACCATAATTCCCCGAAATGCTGATAAAGCTGAATGCTTTGCTTTATGCACACACAGTAAGTTTGAAATACTTGTTCCCTGTGCGCTGTATACATAAAAAATATCTTAAGTTTAAGATTTTTGTTATACTGTACATTCATTATGAATATGTAAGTTACTCAAGTTTGACCTTCTGCTATTGCATAAGCCTGAAGGCATTTGCAGCAATGGTGCACACTAGCAAGAATTCTGCATGAGGACGAAGATTTCCCCACACAGATTTTGCATCGGATTCAGTTGGTCTCTGAGTTTGGAAAGCTGCGTGGTTTGAAAGTGACTGTGTTTGTGAAAAAAAAAAAAAAAAAATTCTGTAGTGACTGGACCTTAAGAACCACTGATCTATAGTGTATCAGCAAATCTATTCAACTGCAGCAAACAAACACCTGCGTGGATTCCTATTGAAATGACATAATTTTGTCAGTGAAAATTCCCCTCCCCATTGTTCAACACAATTTTCAAATGCCCCTCATAGAGGGTAAGATAGTCTCTTCAGTATTTCTGCTATAATTATGTATTAGTTATTGCATTTTAATTGTATTAATTTATATTAAATACTAAAGTTTAATAAGTTTAATTAGTAATAATATACATTTTATTAATAATAATATATTAATTTTAATCATTTTAAGTCATCCTGCAGCCTTCTTGGAAGTCTGCTGAGGCCCGCTAGTCCAGTCCTCTGATTGAGAACCTCTGCTAAAGACTGACTTGGCCATAGCAGTGCATCTCAAAAAAATCCCCTGAAATTATAGTCTCTCTTTTTTTGGTTTGCCTTGTTGTTCTGCTCCAAGATGTTTGTGTTGGTATCATCTCCTAGTTGAATCTGTGCAAGGTGTGTGTTTAATCTCATATCTGGCATGTAGTGCTCCACATTTGAGTCTCAGTCTCTCCCAGTGATTTCTCATATCCTCAGAGTTGGCTCAGGGTCTAAGGATGAGTAGAACAAAATCTCTGAATAAACATAGTTGGAGTCACTGTTAGGCTGTCTAGATTTTTAACTCATGAAGTGCTGATTTGGGGATGAAATTGACATTAGACTCACTACAGATGGTTGATCAGCACAGATGCAAAGATGATGATCATATACTGTACTTGCGGTCAGAGCTGTGATCTTGAGTATGAAAGAGCAGAAGACACTCGGATAACACCTGGATGCCTATTTGCTGACAGATCCAAAATGCATCACATGACATTTACGCACCAGTCTGTTTGAGGATCTTGCATGGGTGGAGCCTGTTTGATTAAAGACAAACAGGATGCAGTTGTGACTTCCTATAGCTCACCTGACTGAATCTGTATAGTGTGACATGAAGTGTGATTAGGGAACAAAAAGCTGAATGAAACTAAGAGTTACAGGGATTTGGAGAAAATAGTGCGAGCACCCATTATTAATATAATTTTTGTTGGCTTAAAAAAAAAAGAAAACAAATGTTGCGATTATTTTTGTATTTATTCTTTCGTAATCTATATTGTCTAGGTTGTCTTTCAGTATATGTGTTAAGTAGAAGCCGTAAGTGAAATGGGTGACTTCTCAGACTTCCAAAAAGGGCAAATCATGGGAACCCGTTTAGCAGGAGCTTCTCTAATTTTAACAGCCTAATTGTTTCATGTTTTAAGAACAATGGTCTTTATGATTATGTCTGCGCAGTGCTCACATAAAGCATGGCCAGACTTTATGATCAAAGCAGAATACTGAGTAAAAATCGAAAGTTAATGATAGGAACCATTGATAACTAAGAAGGATTGTGTCCAATTACTACAGAAAAGCTCAGTATTCACCTTGAAGCTTGCACAAAAAACGTCAACTGAGAACATCGCAAAGCCAATATCCACGAAGGAGCTGCAATTGAAAATATGGTGTCGTGATCATAAAACCTGCACCAAGATAAACTTCATTTGCCCTGGCCAATACCTGACTTGAATATTATCAAACCACTGTGGGCAGTTTTAAAGAGATGAGTGAAAAGCCAGTTCTCTCCTCCAATATCTCTGAAGGAACTGGGAGGGTTTCTGATTGACAACATTCAGAAGTTGTATGAATCTATTAAAGGGGTCATATGATGCGATTTCAAGTTTTCCTTTCTCTTTGGAGTGTTACAAGCTGATTGTGCATAGATAAGATCCCTGAAGTTGCAACGACTAAAGTCTCAAAACCAAAGAAATATTCTTTATCAAAGTTAAGACTCTGCCACACCCCCCTAAAACGGCTCGTTCTAACACACCCCACATGTCTACGTCACGATGTGGGAAGATTTGCATAACGCCGCCCAAATGTTCACGCAAAGAAAGAACGCGTACTCTATCTACAATCTCAATTAGGAGTGTCAATGGTCCATTTGAGAGATAGGTGGCGGTAATGCACTTATAAGTCTGTGATCCGCCATAAAGCAAGAAGAAGAAGTCTTCTTTCTCTTCTTGCGTCACGCGCCGGCTGTTGAGAATGCGCTCAGGACAGTTCTGACATTGCGGTGAATCAGAGGTAAAAAACAATATAAATACTGTTCAGTTTCTTATACAGACCGATCGTTTTGTGTCTTTACACATCAGTGTATCGTCACGAGCTGCAGGGTTTAATTTGGTTTTGTTTGTCTATGTTTTTTTGACTCTCATAGCCATGATTCCCATTAACTTCCATTATATGGCTGACAGACTGCAACGGTTTTAGTTAAAAATCTTCATTTGTGTTCTACTGAAGAAACAAAGTCACCTACGTCTTGGATGCCCTGGGGGTAAGCAGATAAACATCAAATTTTCATTTTTGGGTGAACTATCCCTTTAAAGGCAAATGGTGAAACATTTGAAAGCATTTGGTATGATTAAATTATTATGAGTTTCAGGGCAGTAACTCACACAGAATAATATCTGCTAGTGCAGCAGCCTGAGCCCAGCTTCAAGCAAGGACTAGAATCTGTTGTGGCAGTATTTCTTCATCCTTTTATACATTTTTTTAACCTCTCATGGCCCCAACAGGAAATTAATCTAACAAACATTCCAGTGGTTGAATCAGGTTCATGGCAGAGAACAGACGCTGTGATCATATTTTCAAAAGCTATGACTAGTTATGCAGGCCACCAATGACATTCAGGCATTCAGAAATAGGAGTGCCCGATCATGCAACAACAAAACCCTGTGCAATAAAGAGGAAATAAACTTGTGATCTGTGGATCAAGTAAATAATTAACTTTAACGAGTTGCTGAAAGTGAGCTGTAATATTTGAGAGGGAATGTTGTCTTTACTCAGGGTTTGAGTGCCGATTATTGTTGTCCTGGCCTTTCCATTCCCTCCTCTAGGGAAGTAGAGGCTGAAGAATGATGACCAGTGATTGTTGGAGGTGGATATGATGGAGGATCTGACGTATTACCGAGTGTGTGGCTGAGAGATGGGCTGTGAAAAATGTTGGCAGCACTTGATGAAGCACATCTGACGCTTATTGTACCTTGTCACCGCTGCCATAAATCCAGTGTTGTAGCTTTCTTTGGGGGAATAGGAGTCCTAAATGTGTGTAAAGGTCTAGTTACAATGTAATATTGCATATATATATATATATATGTGTGTGTGTGTGTATGTAAATATACAGTAAGTGAAATCATTTAAAAATATGGGGTTAAGTTTTTTTTATGATTTTGAAAGTATTTTCTTATGCTCACCAAAGCTGCATTTATTTAATCAAAACATCTAGTAAAAACAGTAATACTGTGAAATAATATTACTATTTAAAAACCATTTAAACCATCAATTAAGCATTTTCAAATAAATAAATGAATATTACTGACCGTAAACTTTTAAACGTTAGTGTACTTTCTCTCCCTGCATCTGTTACGGATGGAAGGATACAAGAAGGCAGGGTCGGATCCAAGTGCAGCTTTAATGTCACAGCGAAGTCAAACAAAGGCAGTAGGTCAAAACACAGGAACAGACAGATTAGACTCAGGCTCAGGAATCGCTAGGCACGGAGCAGTAGCGAACAAACAGACAATCATCAACATAATCACAATACTTCGCAGTGAGTGTGTGTGTGAGAGCAACCTTTATAGTGCTCCAGATAGACAACAGGTGTGTGTGTGTGTAATTAGTTCCAGGTGCGGGGCTTGTGGGAAATGTAGTCCATAGTGAGAGCTGACTGATATCGTGACAGCATCTGCCATCTTGCATTTATATTTTTTTCTGATAGTCTGATACAGTGCATTATGGGATTGTATTCAGTTAAAAAAAACACCTTCTTGCTACTACATGAACCTTTGCAGTGAAACTGCTTCCTTGCATTATATTGATTTTTTTCAACTTGGTGTTGGTTTATGCTGATCTGTTTTATCAGGTAGTATGTAAAAGAAGATTTTTTTTTCTTCTGATGATCATTATCAGCACTGCTTTCTTTTCTCCATGCAAAAATGATTAGGATTGGTCCTCATTGTTTTATCAGTTAGGTGAGATGCAGTAAAGCAATAATTGATTAAAGCCAACTGTCTTGCATCAAACAACATTTTCACTTTTAGTTTGGACAGATCAATTACTGATAAGGTCACTGTAATTTTGTCCAAAAACTACACATTTCATGACCAACCACAGTTCATTTTAGGGGCGGGAAATGGAGCGCAGTTTTGCAAACAAGTGCAGATGCGCTAAAGGAACTTTTTGCTACTAGGTTTCTCAAACAAA